GTGTTTTTTTTCGCCGGCACTGAAAAATCCGACTAGTCGCGCCCCCAGGGCGCCGATTTCTGCTGGTTTGGCCCGTTTTTTGGCTCAGCGAACCCAGTGCTTGGGGGCTCCGGCGGAAGGGAAAACGGCGCATTGGCCACCACTGTCAGGCGAAAAACATTTTTTCCACCTCCAGATTCACCCCGTGCGTGCACTACACCTGCCGATCCCGGTGCCGCCCACCGCCGCTGGGAAGGCCATTTCCCTGCCGAGAAAGAGGGTTCGCCGCGGCAGCTTTCCACCCTGCTATTGGGCGAGCTTTTCCGGGCGCTCTGGCCACGCAAGTGGGGATACGGGCGAGCTTTTTCGAGCTGAATTATTGTCCCAAGTAGTGTTTACATTATTTTTGAACCAACAATCACTTAATTGAAGTGACAATTGTGAGACTATGTTTACAATAATAGGCTTTCAACTTTGAGTTGTTGCTCAATTTTTGATGAAAGGTTCCTTTGATGCCCGCACACTAAATTGTGGCTTTTACTATTTTTGTATTGCATATGCTGCACTAGTCCAAACCAGTGTTATGTTCATAACGTCAATTAAATAACATTTTGGATTGGGGCAAATTTTCACAGGCACATTTCATGAGATAAGCAAAGAGTATTAGCTAAAAAATTTGGTACAATTTGTCAAAATGCATATTTCCATCATATAGTTGTACATGTGCCTGGGTATAACCAATCAGATAGCACATTGGTTGAATCAGTTTCAGAGTTCAGGGTCAGTACATGACAATCCAGTACTGAAATGATCACCTATCAACAAGCTTAAATGATCACCTATCAACAAGCTTAAGATAGGCCCAAACATGGAGTCTCCAGTGCTCCTTTTGTACAAGCATTTCGGGTGACAAGTTTATTGGCATAAAAAATGAGCAGGAGGACTCGACCAACTCCAGTTGAAATAGTGCTACATAAGACCAATTCCACAAATAATGTACGGAAGTAGTAGAGCAAGCACAACACAATATCACTAATAAACATATAAGTGGGAGTCTTCTTCACATAACGCAGACCTTGGTCACAATCAGTCATGATACATATGATAGGATACGTACTCTGATTACATAGCATCCTAATTAATCCATCACACTCTACATGTTTTTTTTCGATACACTATACAAGTTATAACAAAGATAGTTACTAGAATTGCAAGTAAGAAAATGCAGCTCTCTTCTCTTCCTTGCTGGAGCCATTTTCCATCCAAAAGCTCCCACGTATCCTTTTTCTTCACATGGCAACCCTGTTTTATAGAAAGCAGAGGAGGTTCAGGATTGTGGCCCACAAATTTTCTTGCTGGAACCTGAACATTACATAGCAGGTTCACAAATTTACTACTCATATTGCGGCACACAACTCCAAAACAACAGCTTTGTACGCTCATGATTTAGATGTTGTGTAAATTAAGCATGCTAAGTCAGTTCTATGCACCGTTTTACAAGATTCAGATTTATGCTAGCTAGAAATTGTACATATTGTGCCATCCAATGGACAATTCTATGCACCGTTTATACGGTACTAGATGAGTAGTATTTAAATCTGTGCATTGCTTTTCATGGCAACCAATCATAATACAACAGTTGACATGATATAACAGCTCATAACTGTCGATGGTTGGTCATGTTCTGACAGAACTATTTGGCTGCAGCATATCTTCAGAAGTGAATTAATAATATGGTGTACAATGAAGCTAATTATTCTAGTCAAGTGATCACATAGTCTTTTTACCATCAGAATCAACCATAAGACACATTCAGTGGGGTTGGAACATGTTTACGATAAATTACCTTTAAAACAAGCTCAAAGTATCCAATATCAGAATCCAGTGTAGTCGGAGTATAAGACTTGACTACTTCCTCACCAGTAGCATCAATCGGTTAACAAAATACAGAAACCGAAATCAGAATATTCGACTCACTCCATGTACCAAAAAGAATGACCATAACTCAACATCGTAACTGTAGACCAGGGTATGAGCAGTACAAGTGTTCAGACCTGCATCTTATATATATTGGCCAATTCCAAGGCCCAACAAAGAAGTAGGTCTAGGGAAACAAATTTGAACTTGACCACATTATGACTGATCTGACTGTTCTGCACAAGATCATAGCACATCAATAAATTTTTATGTCATACACAAACATCAAAAGCAGTAATCTTGAATGCAGCAAATAATTTTGTCCAAGGGATACTAAATGTGAAAATGAATCACACAACAGTTTAAAAATCACCTAGAATATGCAGGTGCAGAACCATGCAAACCAAATCATGCTGCAACTTTGGACTCAAGTCCAAATTTCAGAATCTGGTATAGGATTCCAGATGCACTGCGTAAGGTGGTCGGCTCCTCAGATACAGATTTGCAGCAGTTGGAACCTGTCCAGGGATGGCTCGCTGGCGTTGATGGGCGTCGCTGGCTACATGACGGAGGGAGGCGCTGCAGTGGGCGGGGGACTTTGGCTGGCCGGTGCGCCGCAGCGAATCCTGGCGTTGGGCGGGAACCCCCTGGTGGCAGGAGCAGGTCGAAACCAGGGAGACGGGCCGCTGGTGCTTGCCCTCGATCGGGGCCGCCGCGGGATCTCTCGATCGGAACGGCGAAAAGGGCGGCAGCGACTATGCGACGAGAAACACAACGATCTGCGTGGGGAACGGGGGAGCTAATTCTCCTGCGGGACAGATCAGAGGGACTTTACTATTCTACACTTTTGACCAAAAAATAATTCTTTAACTGATTTTCCAAATCTGACGGTCAGGAAAAATTAGAGATGAAGTTACACGAAATTACGAGTTGTAACTCGCCAATCACCCTAAGAGATTATGGGTTCTGCTTTGAACTTCACAAGTACTTATTTTTTAACTATTGTTCACGTCCGTTTCAAGACTACATAATCTCCGTCCCCTTTTAGGTATTCTCTAATCTAAATTAGTTTGTTGCCGCTAGTACTAACAACGTGTCCTGGACGGATAGGGGATATGTCAGATGCGCTTTTGTTCCCAAAGCCATTCGTTCAAAACAAGCACAAACTTGTTGCACCATGATTTGATCAGGAACTACAGTTCCAACGACATTTGTAGTACACATATTGTTATGCGCTGGATTCACTCATCAAGCATTGTCCTGTCCCATTCATGAAATGTGTTTGAAGATGCCTCCCAACACATATGTATATCTACCTTCTCTTAATTGTCATTTTTCTCCTTCTTAACTCTCTTGTACCCTATTCGAGTACATTTGTGAGCTACTAACTAAGGAAGAAGAGCCCATCCAATAGGAAAAAGATCACAAAGCAACAACTGGATATATATTCAAAATTGTAGAAGGCATGATACCATACACATAAAGGTATTTGTGTGTGTTTCTGTGTGTGCCAAAGAAGTCACAAGTTTGAAGATATGCTGCGGTTTAATGGTCGCTGCGCAGATCACACTTCATTAGATTGCCTACACCCCGCATGAACCACTCGAAATTGGTGTCTATGGATGAGCAGTTGCCAATTTTCTAACCTAAAAATATACACTATTTTGTGGCTATATTTCTTTTCCATGTATTCCTATCAATAGACGATATCAATTATTTTTTACACAAGATTTCGTCATTAGTTTCCTCATTTAATTTTGCTTTCCGGTCCTCATGGAAAGGATGCACATCTCTTCCATGTGTTTATCAATTGAGAGAGAGAGAGAGAGAGATACTCATCCGTGTAACATATATATTTGCCAACAAAATAACATGCATCTCTCGCGCCAAATATATGAACCGACAAGCACCTATCATGTTGTCACGCCCAATATGCGATACTATCCTAAAGAGACTCGAAGGTCCCACCAAGGATAGAACCGCATATTAAAACGCTTTTGCAAGGTGGATATCATTACATCAACATTACATAATAGATGGGGATACATACAAGAGGCATAAAATGCCACACGAATACAACATCACAATACATAAGAGCATCATCCGACTACGGATGAAACACAAACAGAAACTCAAACGACATCCACCCTGCTAGCCCAGGCTGCCGACCTGGAACCTATCCCCTGATCGAAGAAGAAGCAACAGAAGAACTCCAAGACAAGCAAACATTGCTCTCGCGTCAAGATCATCGCATAACCTGTACCTGCAACTGTTGTTGTAGTAATCTGTGAGCCACGAGGACTCAGCAATCCCATTACCATGGGTATCAAGACTAGCAACGCTTAATGGGAAAGGAAGGGGTAAAGTGGTGAGGTTGCAGCAGCGACTAAGCATATATGGTGGCTAACATACGCAGATAAGAGCGAGAAGAGAAGCAAAGGAACGGTCGTGTAGTTAGCAATGATCAAGAGGTGATCCTGAACTCTTACTTACGTCAAACATAACCCAAAGACCGTGTTCACTTCCTGGACTCCGCCGAAAAGAGACCATCACGGCTACACACGCGGTTGATGCATTTTAATTCGGATCTGGTGTCAAGTTATCTACAACCGGACATTAACAAATTCCCATCTGCCGCATAACCGCGGGCACGGCTTTTGAAAGTTTATACCCTGCAGGGGTGTCCCAACTTAGCC